TTGCCCCAACAAAGTCTTGATCTCTTCTCTTCAGATAGATTTGGGTTTGCAAAACTACTTTGACCGTTGATGTTATATTGTAGATCTTGACCACGCCATATAGGGTAATCTGTTGAAGTTGTACATGGTAAAATGACATTATCTCCGGCCGTTACTGTTCGTTGTTGTAAGTCTAGCGCTGTACATGTCTGAAAGGCTAAAATAGAATATCTGAACTAGGTTAGAGCCAAATATGTTAAAAGATTTCTTAGAATTAAGTAACCAAGTGCATCAAAAATCAAAATACACATAAAACTGATATCGACATACATGGAATTGTAAGAATACATTTTTTCATTTTTTGAAAGAAAATATTTTAGGCATTTTTTCTGTTATAAATATATCGCCTTTTTTAATCAAAATTTCACCCACAACTAGTATTTTCAGGTGAACTTCAGCGCGACCTGACTACATTTAACTATTTAATGCAAAAAATATGACACTGTAGGTATGTTCTTATTCTTATTAAATAAAAACTTACCTATCAATACAAAAAAAATCCAAAATTAAAAACATTTTCAAACACGCTTGGCTCCTAAATCGCTTCTTTATTTTACATCAAACCCTTATTCTTCCGCATCCCGTGTTTATCATGTACTTAAAGAACGTGATTTTTATAATAGATTTGTACTCGATGCAGTTTAGAGCTACATTTATAAATAGATTTGTTGTAGATCGTTACAATTAACTCTTGAAAAAAATAGTTCAGATAAACTTTTAACCCTGGTTTTTTGTACGTACTTTTAAAAATGTATGGAAAGGATAACGTATGATTCTTCTGCATTGTTATTTTTTATGTAACATAAATTGACCTAAAACATTACATATAATAGAATAACAATAATAAAGCGTGACGTAATATTGCGTTACATAACCAAGCATTGCAAAGTAAAGTAACTTGGACAATTGGATAACAATGTTATAACTTACTTCAACATTATCTATAGTAACAAATGCGTCAAATCAAGGTTTTCCACAACATTACTGTCTTGAATGTCTGCAAAAGCATACAGATTCTGAAATCATACCATTTAAATTCATTTCGTGTAAAAAGTTTGTTTTTAAATTTCACATGCGAGAACTGCCATAACTGCATGATTTGTAAGCTATTTTAGTTAGCGTCCTTTAGTATGTTTAAGTTGCGTATGCGAAACGTGATATTTTCACCAATTATATGTATTTCTTTCTGAAATAGCTAGTCCTGTCAAAGAGACATCGAGGTTATTTTGGACGGACGATGTCCCTTTCCAATTTCCAACCATGAACTTCATTTTTTCTACATGGAATGTGCCCAATTAGAATTTGTCGAGAATGAAAATTGAAAACTGACGGTTTTTCATGTATAAGATATAAAGTCTGCCGTAAAAAGAAAATGCCACACAGTCAGGAAGGGGATTATAAAGAAAACGCAACAAAATTGGTAATTATTGCCCTTGAATATTTTAGACATAGAAAATCATTATGATTTGAGATAAGTGAAAGAAACAGTCTGTAAGAATAACTATAGTTTAAATGGCACTTGAACCTCTTGTCCCCTGTTATTAAGCTCTGCCCATTGTTTTGACGCTATTCACGGAATGACACCTAAAATATGTCACATTGAAGGTCGTTATTTTTTAATTTTAAAATTTTACCATTTCAACGTTAAAGTGTTGAGTTCTTCTAAAGCCGACGCTATGAGGCACTTACCAGTACCGTCCATGAAAAGGCTCATCAAAACGTGTAGTTACGATTCAATTTTGCCGTTTCATTTTTTGTATCTTGCTTTCAATGCTAGGTTGCCTGATGTATGAATATACATTTATATTAACTTTCAGTTACCTGTATAAGTATTTGATTATTTTTTATCTTTTCAGTTATATTTTGGATTTTAATTAAAAGTGTGTGATCATTCCTTCATATGACAACAACATTTAGTTTGATCGACATGAATTTCCTATTTACCAATTTAGTAAATTAATCATATTTGTCAAAAAAACATAAATTATATATAACATAGACTGATGTTATTATTGAACATTGTTGGTGAAATAGAAAGAAGTCTTATTGGTAGTAGTATTGAGTTATTTTAAGTGTATTGCAACTAGTACTTTTACGTTGTTTATTATTATATAAATATTTGATCAATTACATTTTTAATCGCAGTGTGGCAATAATAGAGAAGTCTTACAATAATCACGCAGTTTAAGTTCAGAAAAGTGTCCGTAAGTCCAAAACTGTGCGGTAAATTGTGTCAACTGTTAAACATACGGGTGTCCTTTAAAAGATTGCAAATTAACAATTATGTCATTTTGTTTTCAAATACTTGAAGTATCTATTAGATCTATTCTACGTTAAAAAAGCTTGCATTCGGCAAATATTTCACCGCTTTACGATTTTCCTGTTTTTTTAACATCATTGTATCGTTTTTACTATCCCGTAATAATCGGGGTGCAGTAAATCGCCGCTCATTCCTTTCAATGGTCCGTAACTTTGCTTAAAATAGATTTTACATTTTTGCTCTATTCACCGATGTCTTTTAAATTAAGCCGGTAGATGTTTTGGATCTCTGGGGTCTAGTAGACTCGTGCATAAATAGATTTTTACACTTTTGCACTTTATATTTGGCAAGAAGATTCTTGAATTGGTCCTTTTGCAGTAGTTACTTAACTAAAAATGAATGTGACCAAAGCTTAATATATTTTTTAACTATTTTACTCGTACTCTTTATTTTTTCTTATGTGTTTCTTTAAGGTAGGTTTTAACTTTGGGTTAAGAAAAGGGAAATAGGTCTTTTGGTTGAAGGTCAATGTTATCATTGCTTAAAATGCATGTGTGCACATTTTCTAATACAGCCACTATTTATTTTTTGATTTGCATTGCAATTTATTGGCGAATGCGCAGGTTCGTTCAGGAAGCATGGATATGTCGTTTTTCATGCTGTTTCAATATATTTCATCATAGCAAACATAAAGAAATTTAAAAAAAATCCTAAATATTTCTTTTATGCATTCAAATTATGCACACGTGAGCTTTCAGTTCAAAACAAGTGCACCAGACGAGCGTGTACTTATGAAACTTTTTTGTAAAAATCTCGAGGATATGACGTGTACTTAATAACACGTGTACGTTGTCATTTCACATAGTTGAAATAGCATCGTATGCAGATTCTTCTTCTTTCAGATCTTTATCAAGCTCTTTATATTGACCTTCTGAGGTTTGAACATCGTTAAATGTGCCTTTCTCCTTTACATGTTTTGTTTTAAGTTTGACCGAATCATTCACATTTACATACCTAAAGGTACAAGTAAATAAAAAAGCTGTTATATCAAATTTTTACCGTCCTGTTGCACCGTTAGGTCCCATTATATTTTTTTTCTAAAAATGTTATTTATTATTTTTACATATTTGTTTTCTTAATTTCAAGTGCTGTTCTCTACCCAGATGTTTTTAACGACACGTTTGTTTGTTTGTTTCATTTTATGCCTTTTCTCAACAGTATTTCAGTCATATAGGCGGGTAGTTTCCTAACCATTGTTCCTGGAGTGTTACACCAGTACTAGACTACCTTCCTCCGTGCTAAACTACCAAAGCATCTCCCGGTTAACGAACCCACGCCAGAGAGGTAACTGGATTAGAAGTCATCGACTCTAACCCCTCGACCACGGAGGCGTTTTAACGACACGTGTTATTATCATAATATGAAATGATTTTGCTATATCAAACATTGATACTGCCTACTGATTTAGATACTAGTATAATACTTTAAATGCATTGTTAATGCTTTAAACATGTATGTTTTTATTTCATTAAATAGATAAATACAGAATCCCTAAAGAAAGCCCAACACGGCAAATTAAAAATGTTGCAGGCTCGGTTTGATTGAGCCTGTTAATGGACGGTACTGGAAAGTGCAACTACCGTCCACGCCCCCTAGCACCGGCTTAAGCAGAATTCAACATTTAAACATGAAATAGTATAATTTTGAATTTAGAAACATCCGCAGATGTGTTCATACGGCGGTTATCATGTTACCATTGAACCTTCAATGGGACACTTCCGTGCCATTCCATGAAAAGCGGCGTATGGTCCCCAAGTAATAAAAAGCGTGTGCCCCAAACGAGAAAACAATGGGCGGAACTAAATAAAATGGAATTTTGAAAGGGGATCAGAGGTTATGAAGCCTGCGTATCACAGATAAGACGTCAAAAGAAAATTTAAAACGCAGGCAACATATCCTAAGGGTGATTCAACATTATTCAAGTAGGAATATTGGAACCACCCAACTAGAAAATGCCGAAAAGTTGAAATTAAAAATATCACAAGCACAACAATAATGTCGTGCTGAACGATCTTCAAGGATCGAAAATATAAGTCACTCTCTGTTACTTGTTTCTTTGGAGATATCTGTAAAAAAGAATAAACACAGATATTCACATAGTGTGTTCTAGCTTCTCTTAGCTTCTCGTCAACAGGTCTTAATGCATTATAACGAAAAAAAGACAAATTACTAAATAAACGTACTGAGGACGCTTATAAAAAATGTTACATGATCGAGTAACAAATATCAAACAAAGCTTGTCCACATTTTATTTTTAAGCGGTTTATTACGTGACATGCATTGTTTTAAACGTAAGAAATACTACGTAGTATTTATATCTCAAATGTATTCTGTAACATGTAATAAATATTTTTTCGCATTTCTTGTGGTTGTGTTTTATGTATAATAAATGAGTACCAATATATATTTATCATTGAGTTGACAGCAAATGGACATAGAATAACCATTCTGAAAAATGAAATGTGAGCAATAAGAAAAAACAAACAGGCGAAAAGTCGAAAAATAAGGTCACTCGATAGAAATATTTTGGTATCACCAGCTTGTTTCGAGTGCATCCAAACTATACAAATTCTTCTTTACCAGCTTCTCAATAGTCACATGAGAAAGATGATATTTATTTCATGATCAAATAAATGTGCAAATAATATTATCAGTTACTATGTTTACTACTTCTCTTTAACCGTAATGTCACGTACATTGATATCACAAAAGCAACTGTTACTATGCCGAGAAGTACTCCCATAATTATTGTAGTCGTGTTGTTTGCCTTCACTGTGTAATAAATTCTATAGAAAAAATATATTAACATATATACCAAGAAGAACATGTTTATTTACTTAATTATATGTTTCAGAGAGAAATCATCTTACTCGTCTAAATGGAGTGACTAAAGGAAATGAAATATGTGTTTTGATAAATGCAACGGCAAAAATCTCTAACTACCGGTGTGTATAGACATCTGAATATGTTGCAAAATAATCAATGATTTATTCAACTGTATTAAAAGGTAGAAAGGAACAAAAGTAGGTGACAACAATAGTATGTCATAAAATATATATGATCAGAATGGAAAATTAAAACTATGCCTGCAACTAAATAAGTGTTGATTTTGTTTATTATTGTTGTAAAGATATGCATTCATCATATTGTATTACTACAAGCAAATAAGCATTTAAAACTTATCAACATCTAGAAAACTGATCAATGTATTTTTTTTAGAATTCCTACCATTAATTGAAGTTGTGGTAAAATTTCGTTTTTTTTGTGAAGTATAATCTTTATCATATATTGTTAAAGCTGATCTGACGAAACTTCATGTTTGTTTTCATGAAATCATTACAGATCCATTATTATAAGATCACTGATTTTTTTTTATTGAAAGAAAAGTATTTAGTGTATTCGCCCATCTTTAAACACACGTACGCGAAACAAGAGATATTTAATGATAAGTTTATGTAACATTTAATACGTACTTAAATGTTTTTTTTTGTAATAATTTCCGCGCATCATACAGTTTTCTAGACTGATATATTTCTCCTAATCATTTCATAAGATCTGCTATCATTATATCTTGTGATTCATAAATCATGAAATCTAAGCATCATTCGATTGAAATTGTAATAACCGTGTTTGTTTCTGGTAGCGTTAAACCTATGTTTGACATTATAAACAGTCAAACAACAGAGGCGTCACTTACGTGATCAACATCAACGTTGTCACGCGGCTCAACATTTCAATAGCGATTTCATCATCACAACTTACATACAAACAAGGCAGTTCTTTTTTAATAATATACTGCTGTCAGCAACGTTAATTACTTGTTTTTAAAGATATTTTAATGGAAAGTAGTATAATGCATGAGAAAAACATTTTAATCATTTGATTAGAAACATGCAATTTTATTTTGAACATGATTATATAAAGAGACAGAATCAAAGTTCTAAAGAAAAAAGTAATGGTAATGTTATACGTGTCACGAAAAGACGTGTGAACTCAATCAACCCTTACTTGAATCATATATTCATTTCTAGTTATAAAGGAAAGTATATGGATTTAATAGCAGGCTGATACAAAGTATTTTATGTTCACAAAGAATGCACAGCCGTCGAAATATCATTCAATCTTTGCAAAATATTAGCTTATTATTTCCTTTGTTGTTCGGTTTTCATTCCTTTTTTATGTCAAAACATATGTTTTAAAGGCAAATCAGAAACATTCAATTTATGAACATTAACAGGTCTAAAGTCATTTTTCCGTTTTTCTCAAACGCGCAACTGACTTGTACCAAATGACACTTTTACGTCGAAAGTTCACATAGTTGAAATAGCATCATATGCAGATTCTGCTTCCTTCAGATCTTTATCCAACTCTGTATATTGACTTTCAGAGGTTTGAACATCGTGAGATGCGTTTTTCAGTTTTACACCTTTTGTTTGAAGAGTTTTCGAGCCATCCACATTGACATACCTTAAAGTAGAAGTAAATCCGTTACATTTACTGCATTTAAAAGTAATTTTTACATTTCCAAAACTTTTTTGCAGTGTTAGAGTGTCTAGCCATTCTATTTGTATTTTGCTAAAACTTTCATACATTAATTTCACATGATGATGTATAGTTTAATTGCACTTCCCTTTTAAGAATTTCAATTGCACTTTTTATCATCATGTTACAAAACTTATTCAAAAATATTTATATGATATCTGTATTAATAGCGTGTTTTGTTTGATTCAAGGTTTTTTAACTTCTAACAAATGGAAATAATTTAATTAATATATATAAAATAGAAACATACCTTCTGCTGCTTGTATTTCTGGAGACATCTGTAACAAAAAGAAATGTTAAATAACGATAACAATTTTGTTTTTATGTCTTCAGTTTGTACTGTAAAACATAATTAATTCACAAAGTGTGCTCTAGTTTTTTATGCATTAAAATTAGAAAGACATCTTGCTGAGCTTATTGATTAAACATTGCAGTTACAAGTGAGTAAACAATTTTAAACGAAAAAGTTTTCAATAATTTTGAAAAGGTTAATCACATGACTCAAGTTGTTTTTCATATATTCATTATGAATGGAGAACATTTCACATCACACATGACTTATGTAACGCTTGGATAAACATTTTTTTCACAAATCGTATGGCTGTGTTTCTTTAAAAAATGTATAACATGACACAAGTTTTTTTCAATATATTCAATATAAATGGAGTACATGACATATAATACTGATATGTCCGACAATGGAAAAATTCTAATATTCCATAAAGCAAACATAAAAAGGCCACGGAAAAGCCAAATATTTGAAAGTTTCAAACTGCAACGTCTTTTAGGCTATCTGGAGCATAATTCATTCTTAACCCCGAAAGTATTAAAATCACTAAATCGAGAGTACCAGAACAATTTTGATAATATCACTGATATAAAATACAAGTTTCAAATAAAGATGTACAACAATAGAGAAAAATAAAACATGAACCCAAAAACAAAATAAAATATTAACCCAACGCAATCAAACAATGGAACAAACAAACAAACATACAAACAAATAAACAAATATCCCCAACTCTTGAAAGGCTGTTTATCTATAGCATATTTTATATCGTCGCATGGAAAAGCTAATGCTTATTTAACGTTTATAACCATATAAAAGCAACAATATATACAAATATATATTGAGTTACCTTTATTCCGAATCAGTTCACGTCTTCTTTGTACTATCATATATATTAAAAATACCACCAAGGCAACTATGATTAATCCAAGAACTGTACCTATTATAATCATCGCAGTGTTGTTTGTCTCAACTGTCGTTTTCACTGAATACCAAGTTAAATAGAAAAAGTTTATTTAAATAAATGCACAGCCAACAGATTTATTTCTAAGGGAAATGAAAAAGATATAATATAAATGAAAGACGCTGATAAAACGTAGTAAGATAAGATATGCAAAGAAACTCAAACAAATTTGATTGTACAGTACCTGCATACTCAACTGGACATGTTTTAAAAACTCTAGAAACCAATGATAGTTTAATTTGTTTAAATGTTGACATGAAAAGTCGGTGTTGATGGCAACGATGGCAATTTAAAATTGTTACCTTTAATTGGAGAAGTGGTAAAATTTAGAGTTTCCGACAAAGGGCTATTTCCCTCCTCGTTATATGCATATAATCGAACAAAGTATGTTGTTGAATCAAAAAGATCTGTCAAGATTGTGGAGATGCGGTCTTTATCTTCTGTATTTCTGTCAAACACTTCTACGTCACTCCATTTTTCATCTGTTCCAAGTTGTATGACGAATGTTTGTATCAATCCTCCATTGTATCCACGCCTCCACGACAAACGGGCCTTGTTATGCTGAACATAGTCTATTGTAAAATCACTAGGTGAAACTGGCGGCTCTAAAATGAATACATTTTGACGAACAGAAATAAACACAACTTGTAAACATAAACAAATTTAGACTTATTAAATCATTGTCTGTCATAGTCTATTTAGAAAATGCACAACAAATGACGTTAATATTCACAGAAATTGTCAAACACGACATACTTGCATTGTAAAACATATAAAATATTTTCTATATCGTGTACAATCGAAATTTCCCTAAAACAACAATGTAACGAGTACAATGTTGCTATAAAATGTGAAATATCTTCTTATTAATAATAAATGACTTACTTGTCGGTATTATTTCAAACGATTTGTTACTGGATCCTATAATGTTTGATACAACGACATAATAGAATCCATAATCTTCCTCGGATTTTATCTGAACAGTAAAATCAGCTCCCGTTCCGTCTGTTTTGATTAAATGTGAAAACACTGGTACTTCGATTTCAACGAGTTTCTTAGTCACAGAGAATAAAGTCACTGCCTTCATTTCACCATTTACAATTTTATACAGTTTCACATCTGATCCTGCTATGTTTGAGAAATATTCAACTTCAACAGTTTTATTTTTATTCAATTTGCTGGCAATTTTTGCATCTAAACGGACTATGATTGGATAAGCTGAAAATAAAATGTATAGTATAAGTTCTTAAATGGGTACAAATGATCACTCAAATTTTAGAAAAAAATACCAATACAAATGAACGTGAAGAAATTGACACTTTATCAGCATTTTAAAACGGTGCACCTCTAGCATTATATTTCATTCATGATAAAATGAAATGATTAGACAGTAAAATTGTCATGAGACTGAAATTATTTAAGCTAGCATAAGGATGCTGTAATGGACACAAATTGCATAAAAAATAAGTGTCATTATGCAAAAATATCCTTTGCTCTTAGATATAGATAATGCCATTTAATTACATAAGACAGTCATATAAACATAACATAGCATATAATATATAAGACGTTGTACAGATTGAGGATAGGTGCACATCGTGTTTTTTGATATCTTACATTTTACAAGCAACTGCACTGCTGCTCCCTCTACAAATTCTGTGTTTGTACCAAATATCTTAATTCCATTACTAGCTGTACAAGTGTAAAAACCGGAGTGCTCGTATGTTAAAGCTGTTAATTCAAGCGTCTCACTTCCGGGTCTTTCCAACACGGGCACGTTATACCCTGGCCATCTTTGAATCCATTTGCCGTAGCTATAACTACCGTCTGGATTGCCTTTGGCAATGCAAGATAAGATGGCATTTGGCTCTTTAACTGTTGTGTTTGTTGCACTTACAGAAACAATTGGGGGATCTGAAATGTATCATTTTAATACAATGAATATTATTATTTCAATATAAAAATAAAACACTATTTGTAGCCAAAGTATTAAAAACTATGTGTAATGCAATCCAAAAAAAAATCAACAAATGTTAAACCATATAATGATGTCTACAAAATCGGAAAATCGCCATTAACGTAAAAATGGAAAATGGACATAAGTAGGCGGATGGCATTTCGATGATACGAGTAGTTGTGAAATGTAAAAAAACTGTCGTGATCGAATACCAAGGACTTCTACGTCGCCCATCCTTCGGGAAAACGATTTAAACAAATAAAAGGGAAGGGCAATCGGTTTTTAGAATTTACAAAAAAGTGGGGCATATAAATTTTGCGATTTTTTCCACAAAATTTTTAATGAAAGTAAAACATTAAAAGAAAAAGTTTTTTTTCACTCACTTTTTCTACCAATCGTTTTTTCCCTTTTTTTACAATTTTTTTTTAAAAAAGACACAGAATTAACCACATATTTATCATAGCACATAAACCAAAACATTTTAAAAAAAAAATTTTGTATGCACAAGTTAAATTTTTTTTCTTTTTTTACGGAAAACGTGTTTTTTTGGGGGGGAAAATTTAAAAAAAATTTTAAAGGGGTATTTTTTAAAAAAGTTAAAATTTTCTTATTTCAGAGTTGGCCCTGTTTTTGGAATTGTGGGAAAACATGATTTAAATTTAAATAATACTTTTTCTTTTTAAATTTAAAAAAAGTTAAATTTGTAAAACTAATGCATTTATAAGGGAAATGATAATTTCCAGGGATGTTTTTAAAAGAAAAAAAGACAGCGTATCCAATTTGGGTTTTAAACAAAGTTTTAAAATATTTCCCATTTAAGAAGAAAGTTGTCACTGGGGAAATTTTTTACCCTTACTTTTCTTCTTTAAAAGAAGAAAATGGATTTTTAAAACCCCAAAAAATTATGCCAATTATTTGATTCTTTTTTTAGGCTCAAAACATATGCAAACTGAAAAGTATGGGGTTTTTAGCAAAACAAAAAATAATTTTAGCGTATTCAAAATTGAAATATTGTAAAAGAACTTAAATGTTAGAAGCCAATACAACAAAGTTTGTAAAAATACGGGGAAACTCGGCCAAAACCCCATTGTAATAAATGAAAACGTAAAAAATTAAAATTAAAATTTTTGGTTTCAAATTGTAAATACTGACAAAAAACATTTTTAAAAGGTTAAAAAATATGAATTAAAATTTTCTGATTGTTAAAAAAGGTAAAAAAAACTTGGGGGATCAAAATTTTAAAGAAATGGTAGATTTTTATAAAAGGTTTTTCCGAAACTTTTTTGAAAAAAATATCGTAGGGTAGTAAATTATTTCCAAAAAATTTAAACAAAAAATTTATTGAAAAATTTTATACAAAATTTTGGCAAATTTATTTGTTGAAATAATTTTTTAAAAACTTTATAAAAATTTTTAAAAAATTAAAATTTATACGAAAACCATCTTTAAAATATTAACCCAAAAGGAAAACTTAGATTTTTTCAAACACAATAATTAAAAATGTCGCACATACCAAAATAAAAGTACTAAACGGGTTTGGGTATGGTCAAAAAAAATCCCAAGGAAGAAAGATATTGTTTTGTTGTTAAAAACTTTTGGGGCAAAGAGACGAATAAAAATTTTTGGTTTTTTATATGCAAAATGCTATTTTACATAAGGAAAAAAAATTTTGGGGAAAAGATTTTTAATACAAATGTTTTCCCCCAATGTGGGGAAAATTGGACTGAATTTTTTCTAATAATAAAACTATAACCCCACTAATCCAGCTAATTATTTGAAAAGGGGTCGATTTTTAAAAAGGAACATTAAAAGTTTGAAATAAAAAACTGAATTTTGAAAAATTTGTTTTCAAATTTTTACTAAAATTTTAATTGAATTTTTTTATACTCTTTCGTACAAAATTTTTTTATAAAATTTGGGAAAAAATTTTTTTCTTAATCCATTTTTGGGTTTTTCTCCAAACTTTTTCGTTTAAATTTAAAAATAAAATTTTTAAATCCTTTTTATTTTGTTAAATTTGAAAAAATGACATCTTTAAAAATTTTTAAACATATCTTTTCCGACCCAAACCATTTTTTTTTCTTATTATAACCCTATTAAATTTGCTTCAAATTTTTTTCCCTTTTTAAAAAGTTGTGTAGCTTGATATCCCGCCTCATTTAAAACCAGTTTCCAGTTTGATGTAATTTTAAAGTAAAGCTTTCCCCGGTTTGGGCAAACAATTTTTTAAAAAAAAGTTGTTGCCCTAATTAGTTTTAAAAATGGTAGATTGTGACTTCTAAACCAAATGGTATGTGAGAAAAAAATGGGTTTTTAAAGGGAAAAAATAATCTTATTGAATAAAAGAAAACAAAACAATTGGGTGTTTTTCAGGTTTTTTAATACGACAGAAATTGAATTAACAACAAATTTACATATTGTTTACAGATGATTATAATAAATGGGACATAAAAAAAGGGGTTTTCTTTTATAAACCAAAAATTTTTTAGGTGTTTCCCTACTATAAACATTTCAATACATTTTCTTTTTTTTATTTTTTGATAAAAGTTCTAAGGAACTTTTTTATATTTTATTTTCAGAGAAAATGGGGTAAACATAGAAAGGGAAAAGGTTTGGGTTGCAAAAGACAATAATTTTAAACCCAGAGTCCCCGCCTTTTTTTTTATGGCGAACATTAAAAACAAACCGTTGATTTGGATGTGGCCAAAAAATTTTTCCCTATTTTCCAAATTTTGGAAAAGGGGTTTAAAAGTTTTCTTTTTGAAAAAAAAAATCCCGCATTTTTGAAAAAAACCAAAATTTTAAAATAAATCAAAAAAAAAACCCCCTTAAAATTTTTAAAACACAGTTTTGGTTTTACCAGATTTTAATTTTTTTGTGCTAACCCGCAAAATATAAATTTTTTTTAAAAGGAAAATTTACATTTGTAAAAGTTAAAAGGTTTTTCTTTTTTAAAAAATGTTTTTATTTTTGGTGTCCAAAAAGCAGTTTTTTTTAAAATTTCGGAAAAAAAATGATCAAAAAGATTTTTTTTTGGGTTTTTTTTAAAAGTCACATCAAAAACTTTTTGGGTCCCTATAATAAATTTAAGGCTTTAATGGGGGAAAGGGAAAAATGTGAACATAGGTATTATTTTTTGCAAAATAGAACCCCCAAAAATTTAATATTTTTTTAAGCCCAGTTTTTGGGGGGGTTTTTTCAGATAAAAAAGAATTTCCCAAAACCCCCCGGCAGGCTCGAAAATTTTAAACCTTTAACCCGGGAAAACGAAACAAATTTTCAGTTTAAATGACTTTAAAAAACCCGAACCAAAAATTTCCCCTTAGTTTTCTGTTATTTAAAGATAAAGGTTTTCCCCTTTTTTTAGTGTTTCCACTTATAAAGGCACATTATGAAGTTTTACAGTTGCGCTAATTTCAGCCGATAGGCAATTTACACGCTTTAAATTTGTTATAACATTTATAAACATTAAGCATATTTTCTAAAGAAGAATGCTTAGGCACGTTTTTGCTGAGGCTAAATGTGCCTCATAAATGTATGAATTATTTGTAGATAATTCAATATAAAAATATAACTTAAATCTTAAAGCACAATCCTATCTTGCTTTTCATAGTACCTACAATTTCAGTTTGACATAAAATTGTTTTATTTTAAAAGCAGAATGCAAAGTTCGCATTTTTATTTATTATATTATGTTGTAACAATTTTACAGATGCGAAACAATGTGTCTCTGTGAAAAGGGCAGGCTAACAACAGCACCGGCCGAAAAAGTGGAGATATAATTTCAGCATTGAACAAGGGCAGGGCAATATGTATATATACATGTGTAGCGTTGTGACTATATGGATAGTCGGGCCTCGGTGACAAAAATGATGAAAACAACATTGTTTTTTTCCAGTGTCTTAACATTCAGAAGATTCATTTTATTTTAAAAATGTCTTTTTACAATAAATTTTTTTACAACACACTTCCATGGTAAAGTAAGTGCAATTTAGCATTGGTAAGATATTAACTTGAAAGAATTGATTTTCAGAACAGAAATGCAAATACAATGTATATAAATAATAATTATTCGTGTAAAATGTATTTGCAATTTTGAATTATAATATGAATTTAGAAAGATTCATACAACTTTATTCTGGTAGAGCTAACTTTTAAGAATATTTAATGGAATCTGGACTTAAAGTAAAAAAGAAATTATCATTAGTGGGTGGGGAATGTTTTATACCAAGTCTAAATGATTTTAATCGATTATCCAGTGTTTCGACTTTTTTGGGAAAGGGTTTTCAAAATTGGGGTTTAAAATTTTTTGGATTTAAAAAAAAACATGTTTTGGGGTATTAAAAGTGTTACTTTGGTTTTAAAGACCAAATTTTCCCTAAAAATTTTCTGGGGGGATTTAAATTTTCCCCGAAATTTTTCCCAAATTTAAAACACATGAATTTTTAAAAAAATGAAAATTTTTTGGGATTTTTAAATTTGGGAAATTGGGTTTTTAGGACTTTTTCCTGTTTGGCCAAAACATATAATAGTAGATTTAAAAAATATGCAAAAACTTTTCTGAAGGAATTTTGTTTGAGGTTGGGTCCCTTTTTTTTGGCTAAAGTCTAGCCTTTTTCGGGAAAAGAAAAAATAAAAATACCCAAAAGTTTGGGGGTTTCCCTTTCTTAAATAAAAAAAGGCTTTTTCATATACCCTAAATTTTCCCGCAAATTCAAAAATGGTGTATCCCCAAACCCCCACTAAAACAAACAGATTTAAAAAAATAAGTAGCCCAAAATGGACCGTTGATAGTCCAAATAAAGGGACAAGCTTGTTTTAATTGGGTTTTTAACTTTTTAACCTCTAAAAGAAATTAATTAAAATCAAAAAGTTTTAATAAATAAAATAAATGTTAAATAACTTACATGCTACATTTAAGCTAATAGATGCAGTCAGCTGAGCCGGGGTAATTAATAAATCATGGGTAACTTTACACTGGACATTTTGGCCATTGTCTTCAGCTGAAACTTGTAACTTTAGCAAAGATGCTACTGTATAAGTTTTTGTTATGTCATCAAGTGTTGACGTCTGTTCACCAGTATGCTCTGTATTCCTGTACGACCAGATAATACTGGCAGCAGGTCTACTTCCTGCTGTCGTACACCTTATTGTCACCTGGTGTCCGGCTGAGACAAGTAATGTTTGTACAGCCGTTGGTGGATTTGGTTTCACTTAAACGATATAAGGCGTGTTGTTACAAACATTTGAAAACAAGAGCACCGCTAGGCGAAGCATTATATGCCCGAAAGTATTTTTTCTTTTAGTAAGGATGAAGCATTTGTAAGACATGGGAATTAAATACAGTATTATCTCCTTCAAAAAACAATCCTCCTTTTTAGCTGAAAAACCTAAAAAGTATATATACAAATGCTGTTTACAAAGTACTACCTTCAAGTTCTTATCTTGTAAGTAAAAATGCTACAACGGATAGACGGAAAGACGTCGGGGGTATAAAGCTGTTAATCGTATAAAATTTTACAGCTGCATGTTTATTAATGCTTGAGTAATTGAGCAAAAACTGTTTCCAGTTTTAAGGTGATAGTGACCTTGATCTTTGACCTTGTAACCCAAAAAGCAATATTGGTCTTCTACCCAATATGGACAATCATCCTATGAAGTTTGAATACAGTGTGCCAAATGGAACTTAAGTTATGCTCCGGAAACCATTTTCAGTATTAGGCTAATAGTGGCCTTGACCTTTGACCTTGTGACCCAAAAATCAATAGAGGTCTTCTACCCAATATGGAAAATCATCCTATGAAGTTTGAGTACTGTGGGCCAAATGGAACTAAAATAAAGCTGCGGAAACCATTTTCAATACTACGGTAATAGTCACCTTGACCTTTGACCTTGTGACCCCAAAATCAATAGGGGTCTTTAACCTAATATGGACAATCATCCTATGAAGTTTGAATACTGTGGGCCAAATGGAACTTAAGAAATGCTGCGGAAACCATTTTCAGTTTTACGGTAATAGTGACCTTGACCTTTGACCTTGTGACCCCAAAAGCAATAGGTGTCTTTAACCTAATATGGACAATCATCCTATGAAGTTTGAATACTGTGGACCAAATGGAACTTAAGTTATGCTCCGGAAATCAGTTTCAATATTAGGGTAATAGTGACCTTGACCTTTGACCTTGTGACCCCAAAATCAATATGGGTCTTCAACCGAATATGGGAATCATTCTATGAAGTTCAAATACTGTGGGCCAAATGGAACTTAAGTTATGGTCTGGAAACCATTTTTAGTTTTAGGGTGACAGTGACCTTGACCTTTAACCTTGTGACCCCAAAAGCAATAGTAATCTTTCACCCAATATGGGCAATCATCATATGAAGTTTGAATTCTGTGGACCAAATGGAACTTAAGTTATGCTCCGGAAATCATTTTCAGTTTTAGGATAATAGTGACCTTGACCTTTGACTTTGTGACCCCAAAATCAATAGGGCTTTTCTACCCAATATGAACTATCATCCTATGAGGTTTGAAAACTATGGGCCAAATGGAACTTAAGTTATGCTCCAGAAACCATTTTCAATATAAAGGTAATAGTGACCTTAACCTTTAACCTTGTTACCCCAAAATCAATAGGGGTCTTCTACCCAATATGAGCAATAATCCTATGAACTTTGAATACTGTGGGCCAAATTTAAGTTATGCTCCGGATACCAAATTTCTGACGAACGGACGGACGGACAGACGGACGCCAGGGGGTATAACATAATAGGCCCGAAAATTTAGAAAAAAAAAATGTCATAAATTGCATCAATATAATGTTATTTTCTTTTCACCTTATCTTCAATATGCATAATATTACATAATATGTACAAAATTATACAAGCAAACATACACAACTTGCTTGAAATTAAAAATCCATTATTGATGAACCCCCCCCCCCCCCAAAAAAAAAAAAAAAAAAAAAAGACAAAATCAGTTTACAGCAATTGAGAAGCAATATTACAACAATCTACTCACAATAAAGAAATAGCTTCACACTAGTTGTTGTAATATGTCTCGGTGCTGTCTGGAATGAAGACTGGCATACATATAGAACTCCGTCATCTTGTCTCTGAGGTGAAAACGTATATGTCTGTGTAACATTATAAGAATTATCTTCTGTGGATACAGCTGACGTGGAGGTTAGAGGTTGTGTTCCGGTAGTTCCTCTGTACCACTGAACCAGTGGTTGAGGATAACCACCAGACGATATACAAACAAGGCTTGTTACTTGTGACTCAGATTTTCTTATAATAAGTGTGTCTTCTGCTGATATCTCTGTGTTTGATATCATCGGAGATCTTGGAGGTACTTGAACATAGAAAATAATTTCACTTAATTAAAAAAATAGAAATTGACATGTTGACATAGTTTAGTTACGAAATAAATCATAAATCACTATGGTTTGTATTGCACACATATGATTGTTATGTACCAAAACAAAATAGAAATATTTCATTTAGATTTTTTTTCCACAACTTCATGCAGTTAAAACGCCTTTGTCATACAATTTTACGAATTGAATATGAAAACGAATATATAGAGGATATTAAAGTTTTTTCTACAAATAAATGATTTATTTTCATCGAGTGGTATGAAAATAAATATTTCATGAGTGGCGGTAGCCACGAGTGAAATATGATAACTTTCATGCCACAAGAAAAAACTTGAATTTTCGGTTTATTTTATACATATATATCTCTTTTGACATTCCAATTTAAAGACTCTCCTTAAATTATTTGTACTGGCAGAATTTTAAAGAAAGTAGTCCGGCAAGAAACCAGTGAAGATACGGAAAAAATGTTTCACTGCAATGAAAAATAAATGTTTACAGTGAAAATACGGAAAATGAAAATATGCATTTTATTTCATCAATATTTCTCAATATTTAATTTGTAAGTATATAATAAAAAGATCTAATCATTATTTCAGAATTAAAGTAGATAAATTAAATATTATTTCAATATTGTGGCATATGGTGTTACTCAAGGTATTTGATGATAAATTTCAGTATTTCAAAGAGCATTTAAAACTGTAAATAATTGACCTTTATCTTTATTCTTGACGGAAATATAAAAGATAACCAAACATTACCATACAGTTTGAAAAATACTTGCAGTTTAAGATGTTTTTATACCAGTTAAACAAAACAACAACCACAGCAAATAGGTTTTAATGAGTTAAAGAACAGTTTAATTTACCTCATCTTTATCCAATTTAAGAAGTGGTATGAAATAAAAAGAAACAAAACCAAAGTAAAGCATTTTAGAAAAAAATGGTTAATTGAAACAGATATACGTCAGATTTGATAAAAAAGAAAGCGGGATGGTTCAAACCGACCATATTTGTTATTTGATAATGGGGCATCTTTATATTTGCCACAAATAATTATCGGGTTACAATTCTGGACAATTATGTCAAAAATAAGGGAGGTTTTCCATCCAGATTGGGGAATATTCACTTTTTATGTTGTAAAACTGCCATATTTTTATACATGTAACATTAAAAAGTACATATAAATTTGTAACTTTATCTCAATTCAAAACTGTTCCAAAAATAATTAAAAAGTACAAAAGATAAAATGTTGGCTCCCCGAACGGCTCGATCCAACACCCAATGAACACTTTTATCCTCACTGAAAATGAATACTTTTCATATCGACTGTAATATCGCTGTAAAATAATTCGTGATAACATTTAAACCATGAGAAATAAGATAAGCTCCAATTGGAGGATTAATATTATAATGAGTGATGACAATAATGATTCACACCGTTTGAATCAAGTACATTTTTCAATTGTTTCGCAATGTAATATTTACTATAATTTTAACCACTTTTGGACGTATATTCGCGATGCAAAATGCAGTACTGGTCATATTTGTCAATTAAGACATTAGTCATTTACTTTAAATATAAACAAAATATGAATAAAAAATCAAAATTATATCAAAACATTCTTTCTATGCACATAATGAATTTTATTAACTGGAACATACCTCTTACAGAAATATTTACTTTAGCAACAGTAGAACACTGATAGAGTCCCTGGTCACTTAATATTACATCGTGTATAATCAAACTACTTTTATCACTGGCCCAACCGAGTCGTAACCTCTTCTGTTCAAGAACATTTGGGTTTGGGAAGCTACTCTGACCGTGATTGTTATATTGTTGTACATATCCATTACGAAGTTCTGGACCAGTCCATGTTGGATAGTCTGTTGTAGATTTACAAAATAAAGTAACATTATCTCCAGCTGTTACTGTCAGTTGGTGTATATCTTGAGCTGTACACAACACTGGAAATTGTATGATTAAAATAGATAATTCAAAACAGTTTCTATTTTCCTTAAAAAATAACCTCACTTGAATGTGTCCGTGAAAATAAATACACACTGGGTAGGTTTTAGGTCATTTAATAATCATGAATTAATATGATCGATTTATAAAAATAAAAAAATATCATATTCCTTTTTTTTAAATTTTTTAATAGATTCTTTTACATGTCTGCATGTCTTTATCAAATATAAACACAATTATTTACATTTCATGCTATATTAACACTTGTAAAGACTTATGAAACCAAATTATTATGTCTTACAATTACTTCAATAAATAAAACTTACCAACTGACAATATACATCTAAAAATTGTATTTATCCATAGCTCTGCCATCACTTCTTCTTAAACATAAAATTTACTTTAAATTATACTTCCGTGTATTAACCTAAGTACATTGTACTTAAACAACCTGGTTGTATATATACGGATTTATTTTTTTATCTGATGTACATTTTTTAGGTCACGACATTATTCATAAAAATATTTTATATTCTCAGTTAACAAATACTAGAATAATTATCACAAAAATTGTAAAGAGAAGTGTACGTAACTTCTTATAGCAGAAGTTAAAGATCGTTACTTATCAACGTAAAATAACGTACATGTATATTTAACGTCATTCGTATCTGAATTCCTTAATTATATATGAAAATATGAAATATACATTTATGTTAAAATAGTAAATAATCAGCATAGTAGATATATTGATTAGCTTAAAACTATTTCTAAATGTGCAATGTCTAACTGCTTTGGATGACTACTTTATTTTTATGGTAAAATAATATGATGAATTTTGACCATCATTATATTTAATCTTATTACGAAGCAGTGAAATAAATAAATAAATAGGGTTAAGGATTTATTAAGAAGACCTATCAAGTAGAATAAGAAAAACATTACGTAATTTTAACTTATTCGAATGAGAAGCAGCAAAGTTATGATTTTGAATAAGACGCATGATCTGCTGAGGAATAACACGATTTTACTTTGCGAGTTGCAAATAAAAATACAAGAACATTAACACATATCACACACCTATCAGCTTTACATTTCTGGATCTATATTAAATTTCTTGCTTTGTTGCAAAACATTTTTATTTACTTTTTCTTCAAATAAAAAGTTTTCCTATTTCCGTATTCAAATAATGGACAGTGCAACTGTCTGATTTCATGTTTTGTAGGTAGTTTACTGAGACTTAATATCTTGGAACCAGGCTTAAATTGCATCATTCGTAAACACATTATCTCCACCTTAAAGGGAACTGTTTTGCATTTGGACAAAACGCATCGGTATGAGAGCTGTTACATTACTTTGTCATAAAACACAATATATTTGTTTCAATCTATCCATATGTTTACTTTAAATAAATAGGAAACAAGTTTGTTTTGATAAAATTTAAATATTTGTATCTTTTTAAGTTTTGGATTTTCTTACTTTTGAGATGATTTGGATAGTGCCATGCGGACTTAGTTCTGGCTTCAAAAACTTAAATAGTCGCAGTTTATATAGTAAATCCAAGTCACACTGTGCTTTTTACTTCGATTTGGTAACAGTTGTGATGCCTTCAATGTCCCGTATATACTATGTTAGTGCTCATATTTGGTATCTTATTGTTGGTCATTCCTTATTAAAAATGTATTTATCGTTTAATTGGGATATAATTAATCATTATAGATAACATAAACCATTACGAGCGTGTACACACTGTTTATATTTAAGTTAGAAACAAGTTTGTGTCAGATTCATGGCACAATGCGACATTGACTTAAGCGTTCCAGTCCTGTTACAGTTTAAAACGGACGTACTGGGATTTTCGTGTCGAAAGGCTTCCCCTTTTCATTTCACCAAATGCGAAAACAAGTAAATTCACTAGAGCTTTAAGAAGTCCTTAACAAAATGCGTGATTAATTACTGGCTACAAATGAAACAAAGTTTGGGTTTCAAGCAAACAGTGGCTGCGTGTTGAAAAGCAAACAGTGGCTGCGTGTTGAAACAAAATACAAATTAGGAATAGAAGAGAAATAGGTAAAACAACAAAGAAAACTTAAGAAACACACTAAACGGTAAAATGCAATATATTGCAGGCCTGTTACATGTGCATTGACGGTACTTGTAAATGACGATAAGCACCGGCTTAAGCACAATTCAACATTTAACCATGAAATGGCAAAAGTTTGAACTTTAAAACATTTCTTATGTTTATCAGATTTGAAACAAATAAGAAATAAATGTTTGAAATATTAAATTTTGTACATACATGGCAATACGTGTGGTATTGGATCATTCTTGTAATCTGTGTTTGTCTAGTAATTCGTGTTGGCTTGTGCGTATATATCTGACTGCTGACTTTGGATATGTTGTCTGCTTTTTAAATTTGTCTTTTGATGTCTTTCTGTGATGCAGGCTTCATAGCCACTGATCTCCTTTCAAAATAACATTTTCTTTTGTTCCGCCCATTGTTTTCTCGTTTAAGACACACGCATTATTTTACTTGGGGACCATACGCCGCTTTTCATGAAATGTAACGAAAGTGTCACATTGAAAATGCCACGAGGACCGCCCTATGAGCACATTTGTAGATGTTTCCGAATTCAAAATCATTTTTGTGTTTAAATGTTGAATTCTGCTTGCTTTTATTAGTGAGCGTGGGCGGTAACTTTTATTTTCCAGTACCGTTTATGAACAGGCACAATCAAACCGAGTCTGCAACATTTTCAATTTTGTCGTTTTAGGCTTTTTTAAGGATTCTGTGTTTCCTCAGTTTTCCCCGTGAAAATTTGATCAAGTACTGCTAAATGGATTGAGATAGAGTCAAAGGCTTTTCAGCGTTGGTTACACGTTACCTTATGATCAACCTGGGGTCATTTTTAGCCTCTCACACGTCCAAAATTTTCTTGGCGATGAGGGTGACTACCGCACCACTTCAAACCCCCCAAACAGAAGGGGGCACATCCCCCTTCTGGCAACCCCCTGATGTTTCTTTTGGATAGGGGACGGCGCCGAAAAAGTGGTCACTTTTTTAAACAACATTTCTCAAACAAAAACAAGTGTTGGGGGCCTAAATAACGCATTTTTTTCACCATTTGAGAAAGCTAAAAAAGGGGGGGGGGCTGAAAAAAGGCGTAGAAAGGCGTATATATCTGGTAATGGGTTAAGAAGAAACTCGGGGCCGGGGTAAACCAGATTTTTTGAACAGTTCATTTCGGAGTTTTGTATGAGTTTTTAGTGCTTTTTTATATTGACAGCCATAAGTTGTGTAAATTTACAGTTGCTGAAGCACTTTTTATAACTTTGAATTAGAAAGCATTAAACATAACACAAGTAGAATCTTTCCTTTTTCCTTATTTTACAGTTTAAATGTATGTGTGCATATAATTTGTTTTTACATTTGATTTTAAAACTGCTTAAATCTTGTGCAAATGTTGGCAGTTACATCAATAGAATCAAATATAACATATTTTAAATCGGGAAAGGGGAAATTGAATATGTTCAACAAATGAGCCATGACATGATATTTCCAACATAGTAGTCAAATTAGACATTTGACTTTTTTCAAAGAATCTAAAAATGCATTCTTTTCTGAATGAAGACAACATTTATCATTTCTGGACAATGAAAACTTGATTTATAACGCTATTGAACATTACTGGCGATGTCTTTTTATTTGGCGTTAGTGACGACGTCATTCAAAAATGCTATGTCATATGGATTAAAATGAATCAACATTTAGCTGGGCATATATTCCTACATGTATAAATGTATCTTAGTACGTAAAAAGAATACACAATTTAATATTGAAATTACTGACAAGGTAGCTCACTCTTTTTTTATATAATGACGTTATAACAAGACTAACATATCAATTGTAAGCTATCCTAAGTACATGTAACAACTTGTTGCATGGTCGGACAAATAGATCTATACCAGTACGTTTGTCTTGAATAATACGCCAACTGGCGGTAGCATATTTGGTTTTCCGGGTAATGTAAGATTGTCAACAATTGTTCGTCACCATCAGATGTTTTCCTCAGTTACAACACCTGGTCTGTTGTGCTAAATCCTCAGAAGGTTGATTGGAGATATATCGAAATAATGATATTATATTTTGACGAAAAAAAATACTTAAAAAAGACTTATATGTACATTTATTTCGTTTAGTTCATTTCATACTATAGGCATAAAATTAATATGGAATAAAAAAGTAGCAATTCTGTAAACGTATATCAAAATATTGACCCCTGTGCTGTTGATATGATAAAATACATGGTAGTACTTTGTAATTTTTGTCAAAGAATGTTTTCCGTTTAAACAGTCTTGTTTTCATTATATCTTACCTTGAATATTTTATAATTTACAAATGGATTATCATACTAGTCTAGACTAACAGTGATACATAAGAATCAACCTGAATTTTAGGGACAACTTTAAATATGAAACGCATAGTGCGACTCAACTCAACTCAACTCTTTTATTTCATAATTAAAAGCCTCCAGCCCAAAATATATACATGTATATCTAACAATAAAGCAGCATTTGTAATAGGTTATGTCAATATAATAACAGTATTCACAACATTGTCTACTAACTTCAATATAATAGCAGTATTCATGACATTGTCTACTAACTTCATCATACTTAATAACAGAATTCGGATTATGTGACAGCTTTTCATCCACACCGATGCACTATCGGTTAACACAATGAAGAATTTTCAGCGCGAGGCTGTTACGCAAGATTATGTCATAAATGAAACCGCGCGAAAATATTGCGGAAAATCGCATAACACACTCAAGAAAAGAATGTGCGCAAAAACTTGCTTACATAATGATGTTTATTACTTTGTTGTGTGATCATATACACGTATAGCATATTCACGTAAATAACATTAACAACAACAATTTTTAGGCAGGAATATTTCAATAAGAAATAGGAAACAGACTCACGTAAAGAAAATGATGCCAGACGTTCAACGGCTACGCGTACTACTGCGCAAAACAAAAGAAGTTACAGCTTAAAGTTATTATTGCTGTTTTATCATTTTAGCGCAGTTATTGTTTTTGAATCAAGAAATATGCTTTAAAGATACACAATACAATTTCAGGAGATTTACGGAATCATACAATTATACGTAGGCCAGAAAAAGTTCTACAAAACTTTGTTCACAGCGCCATGAGTGATATACTTTGAGTGATATGGATTTTATCTCACGAAATAAAAACCAAGACTTTCATTTATTAGCAAAAAACTATTCAACTACTTGACAGAGTATATTTAAAATACTTACGCAAAATATTAGCAAAATAAAATATCACCATTTGTCTTCTGCGAGACTGATGCAGTAGGGGCTTTTTTTCCTATTTTGACATCTGTTTGGTTATTTGTGTGGATTGCAAGTGCCGTATGCAATGTGTAAATTACTTCCTTTGTACTCTTCACAATAT